ACTGTGGGGAAAATGAATACTCCTAAAATACTCTAAGAACAGGTTTATTAATATGAAATCAAAGGGAAAAAAGAGATATTATAAACATATAACTTCAAGGTGCAACTCGCTTACTCAACTGCAAACTCAGTATTTCTTATTTGCTTATTTTCTTAATTTTACTCCTCTGCAAGTTACTCAGATATTATACTCTTATTACTCACACCCTTACTGGTGTTACGTTACATTACATAGCAGGACCAGTTCCTTGGCCCTACTCACAATACATAGTTACATGACCACTCCTTGGCTCCTCTCAACTGCCAATCCCAGTGGGTACTTACTTCACCCACATTACTGGTGATACATTTCAATACATACATGGCCAACTTACATATGGTACTTCACTAACTGTTGGTAGTGCATATGAGATGCACTCACAACACACAACATGTTATTACTGAAACCAACAAATACATGGGTCCACTACCCAACATGGGATAATTATTTTCCAGTTAATTATCCCCAAGCCTTTACAACCAACACTCTGGACCATATAACTCCAAGGCATGTCCCAGGGTATAACACTGGTGCCTCTAACAACTGATGACTGCTGTTGCGGTGGGTTACACTCCGACGCGAGGCGGGTCTGGGCAAGGTAGGTAGATACCAGGTAGCGTCACGCAGGCCCATAGGAAATCACTAATTGGCAACTTTACTCTCGAATTCGCTAAACCACGCCCCCTTTGAAACTTCATGCGTTTGTAATATTGTGGTATTATTATCTGTATAGATTATTTCTCTAATCAAAATATACTAGCGTAAAATGTTATTAATCAGATATATATTTAATAATATGTAATATACAGTGTATATTGCCATGTAAATTATACAATAAGAAAATGTTTGACGAAATTTACAATAAAACGAGAACTCTGGTCGAATTGTAAAATATTCAATACATTTCCTCCCATTTTAATTTTATTCTGGCTATTCCCAGCAGTATGGTAACTGTTGCTTGACTTCATTAACTGGTTCTGACTGAAGCATCAACTGTTAATGCAGAAAATAAGTAAACACGTTTTATTTTACTCTAATTGATATACAAAAAGAAGTGTGATGGTTTAAGAGTTACGGTACACACAACCATATCATATTGTAGTGGACGTCTCCCCTACAACTGCCTACAACTGCGTAGCCACAGCCACCACACGGCACCTCCACGCATTCCGACGTGCCGTCTCCTAGCAACCAAGAGAGAGCTGTCCCCAGATGGTACGGTTGCCTAGCAACGAAACTACTCACCGGCAACTTTCTGGGTTTTCCCAACATGATTCATAGAGGACTGGCGGCTGCTGCTGGGTATATAAGCTCTGTCTCTCCATTGAGATTCATTCTGACCATTCTTCTTGAACAAGCAACACCTCCTCCTCCGCCGCTGCCTGGCGGCCTTCGCTTCTCCTCGCCTGCCTGGCGGTCCTCGCTCCCGCCAGCGAGCATGGCGACCCACCAGCTGTCCTTCTCTGAGCTTCCTCACCAACCAACTCTCATCCTGCCCATCTTCCTGAACAAGCAATACCTCCTCCAGCACCAGACTGTCTATCATATAACTTATATATTACACAAGAAAACCACATTAGAGTTTCCTTCCATCCTGAGTGCTAGACAACATTAATACCTCGATACCCCTACAATATCCTTAAAAATGTAAATAATACTCGATGTATGAAGAATGGACGTGAGTGCGGCTTTAAAGAAAGCTTTACATTGTCTACTGCTAAATGGTAATTAAAACATTCAGATTTAAAATGCACTGAACATATCTTGTGCCACGCCTTCACTTGTTTGGTGTTCTTTATCTTTTCTTTTACAGGCATCTAGCCACTGTGCCCGTAACTTTATGTCCATAGGGAATGAATAAAAAGATACAAACTTTTCTTCTTTTCTGAGTTGAATTTGCAGGTGGCTACAGCGCAATAAATCATTGTTATAAAAGAAAAACACTCCACTTTCACTTGTAAATATCCCGCTTCTACTGTTTCATGTAACGAAGTGGGCGGAGCTTAATAAGTGATGTCGTGGGGTATGGGTTATTTGGTTCGCACTCAGGATGGGATGGAGAAAGGAAACTGACAATGTGCTCTCTGTATACATGTTGTATTGGATGTACAATGCAGCTTGGTGCTGAGAAGTGGCAGCGTGGTTACAAGCGTGATGTAGAGAGAGCTGGTTGGTGAGGATGCTCAGAGGAGGACCAGCTTGTGGGTCGCCATGCTCGCCGGCGGGAGCGAGGGCCGCCAGGCAGCGGTGGAGGAGGGTGGTGTTGCTTGCTGTGGCTGTAGCTAGAAGAGACAGGTCACCTCGAGGTCAGGTCTTAAATAGCGGGGGTAGGCGTGGCTTAGTAGTTGACCTCCGTGATGTATGGCGGCGCTGGTTAACCGAGACCACGAGGCATACACTGGGGAATTCGCGGGGTCGGCTACTCAGCGACAAACAGCGTTTGTAGGGGAGAAATCCACTACAATACTCCCCCCTTCCCTCCAGGCGGTGTAGGAGACTTGATGTCTGCAGGGTTGCATGGCACATGTGAGGCAGAATGGGCAGTGCATGCCACATGTGAATCCATAACGGCGATGGCGTGGATGAGCCGGCCGCTAGAGGAGACAACTGTCTAGATACACAATATCTGTGGGAGTAGAGAGGGAGAAAAAGGGTGTGTGGAGGTGACGAATGTTGTGCTTCCCTCACGGAAGGTACAGAGTCGTCAGATGCGCCTGCTGGGGTGTGTGGGCCTGGGTCAGGAGCAGGGGCTGCGTCAGCAGAAGCGGATGAGGGCTCGTGACAGCAGCTGGGTCCACGACAGCAGCAGGGTGCAGGACAGTAGCAGGGAGTACCTGAGGGAGAAAAGAGGGGTGTGTTTGGTCCGCACTCAGGCGCATGGGCCGCATCGGGAGCAGGAGCTGCATCAGGAGGAGCGGCAGGGGGTACTGCTGGGCCGGGGGCGGCGTCTGAGGCAGGACGGGTGTGCTGGGGTCGGTAGGACATGGTGCTTGGGGCAGGAAGAGGAGCTGGTGTCTGCTTAGAGAAGCAGTGCTGCTCTAGGGTGTCT